GGCTGAACGTAGGGTTGAACAATATCATACTTTAATGTGTGCGCGTGTGTGTACGGAATATAAATGGATAAATAAATAAAATAAAGTATGAATAATTTTATAAAATATTATGAAATTTTAATTTCTTTAAATGATAAAAAATATCAATGTTGTAATTATTAAGACGCATATATAATAGATATTTAAAAACACTATGATAGATTTCTGTTATTATTAAGATGTTTGATGTTAGGTATTTTGGGGTAATTAATGAGCCATATTAATTGTTTGATATTACCAATTATTTTGAATACTAGTTAGATTGAACCTCAAAATGAAGAAAATTTCTGCTATTATTTTTTTTCAATTATTAAGCTAAAATTCAAAATCTTAATTAACAGCTCACTACTCAATATAATCATGATTAGTAACTTCAATGATGTGGTTGAATTAATGAGGATTTAAATTTAAATTTGAACCAAATCTTTTACTGGGATACATAAAAAATTATGAATTTAGCATTTCAAATTATAATTTTTTTATAATTTTAAATTTCGTATATCTAAGCATTTGAAATTCTAATCACTTTAAATATCTTGTTCTTCTCATGTTTTCAATATTAATACAAAATTCTCACATATTTTCTCATCTCTTGTCAAATAAAAAATAGAAATAAATTAGCCATTTTCAATTTTTTTTCATTTTGGATCTCATTTCATTTCTTTTTTCATTTAAAATTTTTTAAAATGCCTAAACAAAAGATTTTAAATACATATATTTCAAATATAAGATTTAAAATGGAAGATTTTAAATATAAAACCATCGATCTAAACCCTACCTAATAGGAAAAAAAAATACTATTGATGCTGGGAGCTTTTTTATAAGAAAAATATCCATAGTTTCCTACTCCTATAAATTTTTTGCGAGGGAAATTAAAGTATTAAGTATAAAGAATTGTCAGAAGATTTTTAAACATATCTTTATTATAAAAACGAAACATCACAAAAAATATTGAGACGAAGATCTCAGTCACAATTTTGAAATGAAAGCTTACAAATAAATATTAAGGGGCATATGAGGTAAAGAAATGATAGATCTAGAAATGGTTCAATCTTGTCCTCTTAGTGGGTGGCTCTGTGTGGTTAAGTGAGTATGCTCTTAACTCAGCTTTATTTTTATTTTTTTTTAATTTCATACCATTAAGATTTGAAATTATTAAAGTTCTTTTTAAAAGAGATTTTTTTGAGATATTATTATTATTGTTGCTGCTGATGCTATTATTATTATTATTCAACTTTTTTCGGCCACTATTTACGCACGTTCTAATTCACGTAAAGATATAATGACAAGAATCTTACGTACTATTTTCTCCATCTTTATTTCTGGGTCATAATCAATTTGCTACTATAGCTTCAGATTTGCTTGTCCCACAAACATTATTAATGTTTTTTATTTAGATATCTTAAACATTTAATACTCACTTAATCTTATTTATAAATCACTTTAAACATATTTTATTAAAATTAAAAAAATATTAAAACTCATTAATTCTAAAAATTTAATAAGTTTTCAACTTTACTCCTATTAAATATACATATTTTAATAATAAATTTTCTCTCTTCAGCATTTATTAGGGTATAAAAAGAAAAATGTGTCATCAAAATTTAATTATATGACTTATAAGTAGGATTAAAAAAATATTTTACTTTTCCTATAATAAATAATTCCAGAGAAGAAGTGAAATTAAACTCAAAATATGACAGAATGTAATAAAACAACTGTTTCTTCCTCCTCCTTTAAAAAGTATATACGCAATAACTTTAGTGTTTTAGTAGTTAAAAAAATAATATACAAGAGTTTTCATGAAAATAAAAATTATACTTGTTTTAACAACTCAGATTAGTATAAGTGATAAGAACTTCAACAAAATATGATTAAAAGTTTGAATCTTAGCTCTTATGTATATAAAAACTTTGTTAGGATGGGTTTGTCATTTGTGTCATACTTTAAAGGAAATTGTTTTAATTTTTTACTCCTTATATATATATATATATATATATATTTATAATTAAATGTTTTGCTGTCGATCTGCAAAGCCTATTCCTTATAATTAAAAAACAAATGAGAATTTTAAAATTTGATCTAAATAATATGAATGACAAAAGAAAATAGAAACCAGAATTCTGTGTGCGCATGAGCAGAGAATTACGTGGATTCTTTGAAAACACTAATTTGTGCAATGATTTGCAATAATTACACAAGCTACCCAAACATTATTTCTATAACATCATGCAGCTCAAAATATCGTTAAAGCTAAATTTTAAAAAATTGTGGAAAAAATAGATTTATACATATTCAAATCGACATATTTTTGTTGTAATTATACAAAAATCAATGAATAATTATATGAGTATTCACTTATAAATTGTGCAATCAATTATAGATTCTATTTTATATATTAATATATTAATAATTTTTTGAATAATATAAATATATAACTATGTTCATGTTGAGGGCATAAATTGTTTTTTTTTTCTATTTTAATTATACAGCAAACATAGCAAAGAATGTAGTATCTACTTATCAACTTGAAGTTGTAGTTCTTGATATTGTTAAATAAAATAATGTAAATTTAGAAGTGACTTATATATAAGATTGGAGAGAAAGTAAATTTTTTGTCAGTGTTCAAGTATTTGCTTTTTTTTAGGTATAAAACAAATTTACTTAGATAATGTTCATGTCTTGCCTTTCGTACCTTAAAAAAAATTAGAAAAAGGATACTCTTATAAATTAGAAAAAGAATACTCTTATCGCATCCAATAATATCAATATTGTGTAGTGCACTGAGATTTGCAGATGAATTTAAGTATTCATAATTTGTAAAGAATCATTTAATAATTTTTAATTTTATATATATATGTATGTATGTATGTATGTATGGATACAACTTCATAGAATATAAGTATATAATACAGTAAATTGTCTAATTGTACCCATCCCTGGTGAACTAGGTATGTCCTGTTGAACGTCACTTTTCGAAATATTAAAAAACTTGTCATTTAAATAATATACTTTATACAATCAAAGTTGATTGGAGAGTACAAGACAAAGAGCGAGAATATAACTATATGAATATACAATCTTGAGGTGCAATAGAGTTTTGGAAACTCTAGCGATTTTAAAAAAGAATGGGAAATTTATATTTAATTATTTACCAAGAAATATTATTAAAAAAATAAATATATTTTTTTAAAAAAAACTTTCAGTGTTCAGATTTAGAATTTGGGGTACAAAACAAAATGGAATACAGACTGTGAGTCTAATGTGCCACTGACTTCCCAGAAAACAGCAATGTATGGGTCACCCCACTAGTCTCCTTCCCCAACACATCTCTTGAAAACAATTGGAATCTTATGTTTATATCTTGTGTGTGTGTGTCTATAATGCTGGCAAATCTGATTAGTAATCAGTTAATTGATACAATAATTTGACAAGAAATTATTAGAAGTTGAATTGATAAAAAGTATATTTACCTTGTATATTGCTAACAAAAAATAAGTTAAAGGATAAATTTGCTCTAGAAGCTTCACTCAAAATACAATTGGTACCTTGACTTTTGATCGATAAAATACTATTCAAAAAGTTTCAAATTAATATAATGCCATCTTACAATAATGTTATAATGTCATATAGTAATGTCATCTTATAATGTTGTCTTACTCTAAAAAAATACTTCACATTTTTAAAGGTGAATGTTAAAAATGTAAGCATTTTTTAATGTTGCAAGGTATAATTAATGTGTTTTTTTTAAAGTGTCCATAATAAGTAAACAAATAAATTATTTTATACTTATTTTAATGTTAAACGTCCTGTTAATAAAGGTAAATATAAAAAATGATGTTAATTTGAAAAAAATTAATTACTTTATTAGAATAAAATTTTGTTAAAAATGCTTTATTCCTTCCTGTTCAAAATAATAAGTAGTTTTAAAAAAAAAATTGCATTCCTATAAAAATATATATCATTTTTTCCTTTTACTTCTAATTCCACTTATTAATATATTTCATGATGAGTGAAAGATACATTTACACAATGATCTAGGTTAATAAATATAAGGGGTAAAATAAAAAAAATATTTTACATATCTTCAGTTGCTTATATTTTAAACTAAAATTAATTGAGAGAAAATATTTATATTTTAAAACAAAAGGAGTACATTTTTTAATGAAAAAAATATTAATACTAAAAGTAGTTCGTATTTTCAAATTCTGATTGTCTAAAGTTGCATGAACGCAAAACCCTAAACCCAAACAAAACCCGCGTGTGAATCATTAATATAAATATGTTAATACATGAAATAAAATTACATCATTCAAAAATCATAAACAAGAAAACATGTCATTTAAAGTCTAAAGACTTTTGGCCAAAAGAAAAAAAGTCTAAAGACTTCATAAAAATACAACAACATCCACAGTAAGCCTAGTTCTGTTTATCAGTGATTAAAGATGTTAATAAACAGGAAAAGGACATCATAAAACATATATCATAGGGAGAATCCCAAGTTGAATATAATTGGTTCAGTGTTTTTCTCCAAGCAATATTGTGTCCGAAATCATAAATTCCAATAAATCCAAGCTTAGCTTACCACATTCTCGTGTCTTGATTTATGGAGACTCATCAGGCATCATCAGCAACTACCTCACACACTTACACACACATGAAGATTTTTTTCTTAAAAAAAAAGAAAAAATAAACAAACTTCCATAAAATTAGTTCATATATACAAAATATCTGGAACAACTGACTCTCATTATCTCCTGCTCAAATTAATCTGAAAACCCATTATGTGTGATTATTATTAATTACTAACGACAATCTCATGAATACCTTGAGCACATGACGACATATTTTAAAACTTGAACTTGTTGATTAAACTCTTCTGTTAACTTCATTACATTAATAAAAATTTGTCCAAAAAACAAGGGGGGAAAAACCATCCCAGTCCCACCAAGCAAGCCTTGGTGGTAGCTCTATATATTCACCAACCTTCTCCTCCATCAAAACCACCCAAAAACCCAGATCCTCCATAGCCATGAAACTCTCAATCTTCTTCCTCTTCCTCTTCTTCTTCACATCCCAAACCCTAGCCCTTAACCCTAACTGTGAAGCTCAAGATCATGGCCCCGACCTCAAGGTCTTCCATGTCTTCAGCCCATGCTCTCCCTTCAAGCCTTCCACCTCACTCTCCTGGGAGGAGACTGTGCTTCAGCTTCAAGCCGACGATAAGGCTCGCCTCCAGTTTCTGTCTAGCCTCGTGGCGGGGCGCTCCATCGTGCCCATCGCCTCCGGCCGGCAGATCACTCAGAACCCCACTTACATTGTGAGGGTCAAGGTCGGCACGCCGCCTCGTACTTTCCTCATGGCCATGGACACCAACAATGACGCCGCCTGGCTCCCTTGCGACGGCTGCGTCGGCTGTTCCTCCTCCGTCGTCTACTCTCCGGCTAAGTCCTCCTCCTCCAGAAACGTCGGCTGTGGAGCTCCACAGTGTAAGCAGGTGAGATGATTAACCTCTTTCCTCAAAGTGGAAACCGTCTCTCATCAACGCGCCTCTCTTGCGGCGCGTGAAGAGAGGTTTCACACTTATTATTATTTATAGCGTATTTTAATTTATTTATGAAATTATTATTTTTTACCCCCAAAATGAGAGCTTATTGAACCCCAATTTTCTTAAAAAATTATTTTAAAATATAGAAAAAATTATGCATAAATTTTATTAAAGCTCATAGTTAGAATTTTTTTAAGAAAGTAGTAGGGCCAAAAGCTTCTAACATATCTTTTTCTAATAGATTTTGTAATACTTCTGTTTAAAAATATAAAATATTTTTAATCTTTTGAGGTATAATCATTGCATTTTTTAAATGCTCTTATTGATAATAATTTTATATTTATTGTAAGGTATTTAATAGGAGTAAATATAAAAAAATAGATTCAATTTAAAAGTAAGAAATAATTTTATTGGAGGTAAAATTTTATTAAAAATGCTTTAAATTTTTGAACAAAGGAAGTGTTTCTTTTTTTTCAACTTTTTTCCTTTATATCAATGTTTTTACATAAAATAAAAGACATTTTAAAATTTTGGAGTTTCAAAATAGTAGAGTTTTGTATTTTTTTTAATGAATTTGCGAAGATAAAAATGTTTAAATTTTAACATTTTTCTTTAAAAAGCTATTAAAAAATAATAAATAAAAAAATTTCATCAAAATATTTTTTATTTTATATAGAATCCAATGACATAAAAAAAATTGATAAAACAAGCTGCTATAAAAAATATTAGAGAAAAATACAAGGTTTGACGCCAAAGTGATTCAAATGTAACTGGTATGTGCAAATGATTCCCATGAATGTTTATATTTTAATTTAATTTAATATAAACCATAGCAGCATATGACTTTGGTATATCACATGAAGCCATAAGCTCAATGTACTGTGAAAGTTTGTGCATATAATAAAAGTTTCACGTACATATTTGTCTACAAATGCCCAAAAAAGAACTTGCTGGCCCACTCCAATAGAATGTGCGGTTGCTGTAAATCTCACAATGTGCGGCACACTATCTCGTGTCATCATTGAACCGCAAGACGCTGGATCCCATGCGCCACCTCTCTTGGCGCGTGTGATTCTTGCCCATAAATTCAGCCGTTGTTCTCTGGCGGTGCGTCGGTGGCCCACGTTTTTTGGGGGCAAAAGTTCACGTGACACCAGTTTCCGAAAAACAAAAATATTGTGTCTTGTCTACGGAGGCAAGTAATAACGGCTCTCCAAGTTCTTTCTCAGCATGCGAATTTTTTTTTTTTTTGTCAGGTACCCAATCCCACTTGCGGCGGAGGCGCGTGTGCTTTTAACCTCACCTACGGCAGCTCCTCTATTGCGGCCAACTTGGTTCAAGACACCGTGAAGCTAGCGGCGGACCCAGTTCCGGGCTACACCTTCGGCTGCATTCATAAGACCACGGGGAGCTCTGTTCCGGCACAGGGCCTATTGGGCTTGGGCCGAGGCCCATTGTCACTGTTATCTCAGACCCAACACCTCTACCAATCTACATTCTCTTACTGCTTACCCAGCTTCAAGGCGCTCAACTTCTCAGGCTCATTGAAGCTTGGGCCTGTGGCCCAGCCCAAGAGGATCAAGTTCACTCCTCTCCTTAAAAATCCTAGAAGATCATCACTCTACTATGTCAACTTAATCAGTATTCGGGTTGGCCGGAGAGTTGTGGATATCCCGCCGGCTGCATTGGCCTTCAACCCCAACACCGGCTCCGGCACCATCTTTGATTCCGGTAATGTTCCAATCCCATTCTATCACTCAGCATAATAGTTATTTAATTATTTATGTTCAAGAAAATATTTTCTTTATTTTCTCTTGACTTTTAACACTAAAGCCATATATATTATGGTATCTTATGTCAATTGTCGCTATAATTTTTCACATAAATGAAGATAATTAAAGGGGCTAGTGTTCTAAAAGTGAAATGACTGCCAACCAAAAAAAAAAGAAGCTTGAATTAGTCAAATTGAAGCAAACCTTGAGTGAAAAGCTACTAGTTAGTGCACATCACTATCACTGTCAAGCATGTTCCCTGGTAAAAAAAGATTACTTGTTGACAATTAACTAGAGTTATCAAGACCTAGTCTAATTAGAACTACACTTAATCTTAATAAGCATGACGATACTCCCAACGAAAATAACCAAAACATTATTTGTAAACTTTTTTTTTTTTTGACATGGTCATAAAGATTAATGTGATGATATTGCTCAGGAAAATGTATGAGACATTGAATTTGTCACATTGACATATTAGATAACTTCCCATATTTACTCATTATCTATGAATAACGTAAATCACAAGGTCAAAAACAAAACCATGTGGATTATTATAAACTTAAACTTAATATTTTATATTGATATTAATATTGGTGATTTTCATGTGAAATACATAGGTACGGTATTCACCCGACTAGTTGAACCAGCATACATTGCAGTACGAGATGCATTCCGAAGACGAGTGGGTAGAAATATACCAGTTACAAGCTTAGGAGGATTTGACACATGCTACAATGTCCCAATAAACGCACCTACAATAACATTCATGTTTACAGGCATGAATGTGACACTCCCACAAGACAACCTCCTCATACATAGCACAGTTGGCAGCATCACATGCCTAGCCATGGCTCCGGCACCGGACAATGTCAACTCAGTGCTCAATGTCATCGCTAACATGCAGCAACAAAACCACCGTGTGCTCTACGATGTGCCCAATTCCAGGCTCGGTGTTGCCCGTGAGCGATGCACCTAATAGTGAAAATCAAACAAAATCCTTCAACAATAACATCATGAACGGAAAATTCTTATGTACATCGAGTGCATCCAGAGTACTTAGGAATTTTTCTATCATGAATTGGGTTGCAATAATAACATCAAATTGGGAGTTTCATATGTATGGGGTAGGGTTATTGGGACTTTGGAACAAAGAGTTCATTTGCTAACCATATAGAAGATAGTAAGGTATGGCTATAGTTACTAGTAGTACTATTAGGTATTTGGAATTGAATTCAGAGCTTTGGGCAAGTTTGGTGTCGTTTATGTAGGGTGTGTGATGGGAGTGTCACGGGTTTGTTTATCTGTAGCATTTCATGTCGTTTTGTTAATGTTGACGGCACTCTGGGTTGTCGTACATGGTCGCGGTTGATTTTTATATGATTGTCATATTCGGTAATTTCATACTCTTGCATGTTTCACATGAATAATATATTTGCTTTCTAGTACGAGTGATAGCTCCTTTTCTTTTTCTTTTTTCCTTTTGTTTTTGTTTGGGGTAACATTTTACTTTGGTTTTTAGTCTCTGCTTCTAAGCTTCTTCTTGACGAAATGTTTACTTTATTGTATGTTTGTGTGGCTTACAGCATCCATGTTAATTTTGTTGAAAGGCATTAAAAGTAATGAATTTACAATTTTGAAAAAAAAATATGCAGTGTTGATCACTCATTTTTTTTAGTTATCAATTCATTTTTTTAAAATTTGACTTGTAACAATTCAATTTTTATAATTTTTTATTTAGTAAAATTCAGTTATTATCTTTATAATTCTTTAATTCAATAAATTACAAGTTCCAAGTTATATGAAATTAAAGTTCAAGAACAAATTCAATAATTAAAAGAAAGTTTAAGGAGAAAAAAATTATATTATTCTTAAAATTTACATTAAATCAAGTGTACACAAAGAAGAATCATCAATACGTTAACATATAAACTAAAATTTATAATAAATTATACTATTTAAAATTATAACAAGTGAGACATATTCTTGAAGTTATATGTATTGGAAGACAGTTTCAGTTTAAATGGAAAATGAATCAATTTAGTATTTCTCAAGTGGGTAGTGAGCATGAAATGAAATTTGTTAGGTAAAATATATACACAATATTAATTATGCTTCTATTACTATTTCAAATTAACATTATTTTTTATATTTTCATTGACATGCTCAAAGGAATTTTTATTTATAAAATTATTTTTAATATATTTTTTAATTTCATTATTATATGTACTACACGACATGTGAAGTGATATTTTTTTTTTTTTTTCCCGGGGGGAATGGGGAAAAGAGTTATCTTGTAGTATCTGCTTTATGATTGAAAATTATTACTGATAGCTTTTACGCTGATGGCATATACGTATACTAATAATTTTTTTTATAATAGTAATTATACATTTGTATACATTAATAATCTAACGATTTCAGACAATACAACAAAAATAGATTTTACTGATCTTGCCTCTAGACAAAGGGAGTCCATTCAAATAGTCATAATCAGCGGCAATGAAACCTTGAGATTATTGGCCCACTTGATAAGCTTTTATATAAAGATTTAATTAATAAATAATACTCTGTCCATTAAAAAAATATAAAATATTTTTAATTAAATTTTGTTCCCGATAAAATATTTACTTATCTTTAAACTATCCCTATATTTTTATATTTATTCCTATTTAATAATATATTTTAATTTAAAATAAATATAAAATAATTTATTGAATAAAGATACTTTAAAAAAATAATAATTATATCTTGAAAGACAAAGAGTACATTTTTATCTCATTTAATATTTGGGATGGACTTTTAAGCTTTTGAAATGTTAAGAGTTATTTAGGTAATTTTTTAGAGCACAAAATGACTTTCAAAAAGTGGGTTGTAATGAGTTTGAAATGTGAATTTTGAAACTCTATTTTTTGGTTAATTTCAAATGTGGGTTTGAAATATAGATGTTATTTTACTTTCTTATTTTTTTATTTAAAAAATAATTAATTCATTAAAAATATAATTTTATTTAAATAATAATAATAATTAGATATCAATTTTTAACATTATAATTAAATAATTAATCATGCTAATTTTTAACATTAATGTATAATAAAAATTACAAATTTTTGTCACATTTTTTATAATTACAAGTTAAAAAGTATAAATAATTAGAGATTAAGTTTTTAACATTATAAATTAAATTTTATATTATTTAAAATATTTATCACATATTTTAAATATTTCAAATACATTACATTTATATAATAAAAATTATAAATTATTATAAATCAATGTTCTTTTTATAATTATACATTTAAAAGTATATTTTACTGTCATAATCCAAACAGTTTACCAAACCAACTTTAAAAAAAAATGTATTCGAATACAAATTTTATTACAACAGCTGACTTTTATTAAATTAACTTTTACCAAATGAACTTTCAATAAATAAACTTTTGATGAACTGAAAACCAAACGCACATTAAAAATATGTTAAATTTTTTAACATAAAATCTTTTAAAAAATACTTTATATTTTTTTATTGAGGAGTATAATATTAGATAAGAATCATGTGGTTTGATTCCTGGGCCTTTTCTTTAATTAAAAAAGTTCAAATATAAACTTTTTTTAAAAAAATTCAACGATTAGATTCACATATTAAACTTTAGCCGTCCACCCTTGTCGAGTGAACGTCAAGGACGCAAGCAATTTTTTACTCTTCAATACGAGCTTCCATAATTTTTTTAATTCGTAATTATTTGTGTAGCTTTCGATTTTGTTTGACCAGAGTGTAATTTTCAATTGTATACGTACACTTTGGCCAAAAAAATTGCATGCGCATATTATGCGGACGGCCTATTTTATAGTCAAAATTATAGAAATTATATGAATAAATTTATACTGTGGCGTGTGACTTAGATCACAGAGTGGCCTTTCTTTTTTTTAGTATTTCCTCTCATTTAAATCCCCTCCAGTTGGAATTAGTGAATTTAGGTGAAGCTTTCCATTTTTAATATTTCCCCTCATTTTATTATTTTCTTTAAAATATAAAAGCTCTTATCTCTTTCTTAAAAAAAAATTACTGAAATTAATCAATTTCAACTTCAGAAGATTTAAATCCAGAAACAGAAACAGTTATGTTGGTTGGCTTGCTCATAATGCTAATTGTAAAATGCAGAACTTTTCTAATATCCAATATAATCTAGTTTCTTATGAGTTTGCACTACTTATGCCATGGTTTTGTATTAAAAAAAATCTTAATTAACTAATAAGGGATTGTTCTTGCTTAACCAATGACCTCAAGGTCTTGAATTCAAACCTAAAAAAATGCAACAATGTTTAAACTTTGTGGAGGACTTGAAGAATAGATCTAGATTACATGTAGTATATTTGATGTAGTAGATGGGAAGTGGGATGATTCTAATTGTTCATTATATTTAATGGTTTTAAAAAAGAGGGATGCACAACACATCTTATTATTGGCAAAGTTAGTCCTTGCACAATCAACGATGGGAACAACAATTGACATCAATTCCATCTTCACTTCTCTCTCAACATCTGGTTCATGAAGGAAATGAATGATGATGAAGGCGTGTGAGAGAGGGTTGAGGGGACTATGTTCCTCAAATGAGGCACGGGGGAGAGGGAAGGAGATGGTAGGGTAAAGAAAATTATTAAAATTTTACTGAAATAGTAAAGTAAATTAATTGAATGCTAACTATAATTAAAACATGTGAATTGGAATATTATTTTTATTTGCCAAAAACCATAAATGATTTGATGGTTCGGGTATATACAAGAATTTCTCTGCAAATACATGTTACATGGTACCAAGCCATTGACTTTTGAGAGAATGAGAATTAATTAATGAGGATTCGACAATTACCATATTTGCTTGTTTTTCACCAAATTTTCACCGGATTCTCCTACATGTGAACATCAGGGGAGGCTCATATGGTGGTGTAGTTTGAAATAATCAAGAAAGCCACATGACAAGCTTAACCTTGTGAGAACTCTAATTTAATTGTTAATATAAACACTCCATTCAGATTGCTCTGCTTACTCCCATTAAATATTTTGAGAAAAATACTTATATTTAATACTCCCTTGCACCTTCTAAATATATATATTTTTTCCTTAACATAAGAATCTTGATGAGATATTAATTATATTTTTTCAATATCATTCATATTAAAACTCTTTTACTATGAGAAAGAATGCAATATAAATTTAAAAATTGTTCATTTAAATAGTAATAAGATTAAAAGTTTATTATGTTTTCAAACATGATATAACCACTATATCTTGATTACGTTGAGATAGTTAATAGTGCCTTGTAATAGCAATTAGGGAGTGTCTCATGTTTTTCATTTCAAAGAAAATTTCATATTCAACTTTTAAACTGATTAAACAACCAATAGGGTTTGAGTTAAGTGGAAAGAGTTAATCTCTCATAATGTGATAAACTAATATTTAAATTTCATGGGAAGACATGCCCATTTTATTGCTCGATTGCAATTCAAACATGATTATCTTTAGAGTTAAGAATTATTTTTGTCTTTGAACTATATAAAACATATTACAAATGATCCTAAACTCAACTATAAATTAATTTTATTCATCAATTTTAAAAATTTTCTTTCTCATTACCCTACCATTTTTTAACCTTTATTGGGCCCTTCATTATATTTTTTATTATAAAATATTTGAGTCAAGGATGTCAATTAACCCTTCAAATAAAAGTTAAGGAACAAAAGTAACTCTTAACCAAATAAAAAATATTAAAAAATAGTGAGTTTCACTGATAACTAACAGATGTTAAATGTTTTTAACGTTAGGGTGATGACAGAGTTAATCTTTAAAGTTTATGAATAAAATTGACCTATAATTAACTTTAGGATTATTTGCAATCTTTCGTATACATATCAAAGATAAAAATAACTATTAACCCTTATTTTTAATAGGAATATATTTTTGAGTAATAAAAAAAGGAAAAATTAATTTTTTAATCTCCCAACTTTTAACTCACTTGTAACTCAGTCCCTCAACTATAACTCACTATGACTCAGTCCCTCAACTTTTGATTCACCTATAATTTGATCCTTATTTTTTAATTTTTTTAAAATTTTTTTATCAAATAAGAGGGATAAAAAATGTTCATATATTATTCTAAAATATCCTCCTCTTACTCATTAATTTGAGATCTAAATTAACATGAAAAAAAAATTAACAAAAGTTGAGGGACTAAATTGTAAGTGATTCAAAAGTTGAGGGACTGAGTTATAGGCGAGTCATAGTTGAGGGATTGGGTCACAGCGAGTCATAGTTAAGGGACTGAGTTATAAGTGAATTAAAAGATGGAGGACTAAAAGACTAATTTTTCTTAAAAAAATAATTTCACATTTAATAACTCAATTAAATTGGAGTTTGGATTTTAAAAATTATCATAAATTATTATCACATTATTTAAAAGAAAACTAAATTTATTTATTTATTTTTTTGCCTTCCATGTTGAATTAAATTTGGTATCTTTGAGGTATGAATGACAAGAAACAGGAAAGATATAGACTTGAGTGGTCTTCTCACGGAAGGACTGCGGACCTCGTCTCACTTCACGACCTTTTGTACGTGTCAGTGGCTTCGCCGTGCAGCGTGCTCCCTCGTTCCCACGAGTGCCCAATAAAACGGCTCCAATCCAATTCCTTACTTCTTCATAAAAGGCGGCGACGCCCTCTGCCTCTCTTACTCAATCCACAACGCTTTTTCGCTTTGTTCTTCTTTGTCGTCTTCCTCTCTCTCTCTCTCTCTAATCTTCGAAAGCCCATAGCGAAACCACCCAGAACTCAAAAATCCCATGGAGGTTAAGCGTCGAACGGTTCGCTCCCTTGTGGGGAAGCTGAGCTCTGTTTCTGAGCAGACCCAGCTCGATGCTCTCCGCCAGCTGCGCTTGATGACCAAGCAGGACGAAGAGGCCCGACCCGTGATCGTTGATTCGGGTGCGATTCCCTACTTGGCTGATACTCTCTTGTCGTCTTCACACGATTTCCAAGAGAACGCCTCGGCGACGCTTCTCAACATCTCGATTTCCTGTAGAGAGTCCCTCATGTCCACACGCGGAGTGCTCGATGCCATCTCGCACTTGCTTACCCGCCATAACTCGACTTCGTCTGCTCCCGCTGTCCAATCCTGCGCCGCCACGTTGTACAGCCTCCTCGTCGTCGATAACTATAGGCCTATCATTGGTTCCAAGCGTGACATTGTGTACGCGCTCGTGGATATTATCAAAACCCCCAATTCGCCGATCAGATCGATCAAGGACGCTCTCAAGGCTCTGTTTGGAATCGCTCTTCATCCGCTTAATCGGTGCACGATGATACAACTTGGTGCGGTTGAAGCTCTTTTCTCGTTGGTTCAGAAGGACCGGAAGGTCGGGATTGTGGAGGATGCGACGGCGGTGATAGCGCAAATCGCGGGCTGTGAAGAGAGCGAGGAAGCGTTTCAGAAGGTGTCGGGAATCGGTGTGCTGGTTGATCTTCTGGATATGGCGAATAAGTCGAGCATGAAGACGAAGGAGAATGCTGTCTCTGGGTTACTGAAGCTAGTGAGATGTGGAGGGGAGAAAGTAGCCATGGATGTGAGAATGAGAGCTTTAGGGGCATTCGATGGAATTGCGGACGTGCAACTGAACGGAAGCACCAAAGGGAAGAGCAAGGCGGCGGCGTTATCGGTGGAATTGATCGGAGATGGAAACCATTGGAATACACAGAGGGATTCCCGGTTTGATTCCTCAACAAGTCAAGACTCATCATTTTCATTCAATTTCTCGACAGATTCATCAGAATTTGGTGTGTAGGACCATATATTTCAAGTACTATTATTGATTGACTATTCATTTCATATTTTTCTCTCAATTTTTGTCTTATCAAATTAGTTTGATAGATAATGTACAAACCAGTACAAGGTACTGATTCGTTCTGGTCTAGTTAGGCTCTGTTGATCAAGTTTTCTGTATTGTAAACGTAACAAAAGGGCAGATATTAATCATATATGAAAAAATTCGGTTTGCCTCATACTACTCTGTTCAGTGTTCACCCTGTTTTATGCTGCTGAAGATTTGTTCTTTATTACTTTGATTTTGATTGCAACCTCTTGTTAGGTCTATAGTTCTGATTTAATCCCAAAAGATCTGTGCATCAACAGCTCAAGGTGTGTGAATCAGTGCACTAATTCTCTGACCTTCGTGCTTAAACTGGCATGCTAGAAATTTGGTGCTTTTCAACAGCTGAAGTCTTCCACTTTTGAGAAATCCAAGCTCACTCAGAAATATTGAGTAGTCTATTAGTGAATCAAGATGACTTACTGTGTGGGAGGACTACTTGAGAGCAACAATCAACCCCACAAATACGTTGGAAGACATGCTGTGACTTTTTATGATTACACTAAAATGCTAGAAATGGGGTTCAGTCAAATTTGTCTGTTTCTTGTTTAGTTGCTGTGGGAGTGGCTACTGGCTAGGCCTAGGCCCCACCGTCACTGTGAGTTGGGTTCACTATATACGTACATGTGTAAGTGAAATTGCGCGTTTATATACTAAAAGTGTGGCATTTCACTATTTGGGTACTACCAGTATTGCCTGCTTCTTGAAGTGGATTGGATTACAGGAACAAACTTGGATATAATCTATGACTGCTAGATCCTCATTTTATAGTAGAAACTTTTGAGTCCTGAGACCAGAAGCTGAAGGCTGGACTGTCTACTTGTTATTACATCACTAGTTTTGATAGGCCATCAATGGATCAATCTTTTGCATGAAGATGTGAGTAAGCAATGGGCTGTGTTTCTTTCTTTCTTTCTTTCTTTCTTTCTTGAATTTCTTAAGGATATCTAGCACGAGTACTAGAGGCTAATCCCTTGAGAAATTAAAATAGTGATTTCCATTTAAGCAGCTGGTCTCTCTCAGCATATGCTATTTCATGTACATGGCCTAGGAATCGAACTCTGTTAACATGCTTTAGGGACCTGGATAATTTGGATATTCTTAATTGTGTTTTTCTAAAGAAAAAATTACATAGGTTCCACACAAAAAAATTAATTACTACAATATTTATTAATTGTCAATAGCTTAGTTCAATAGTTAATAGACTTTATAGTAATTAATTTCTTAGTGTGGGATTTCAACCTAATTCTCCCAAAAATTTAAGAATTTGAAGATGTATTTTCCTTATATGATACTCCCTCCATTAAAAAATGTAAGACATTTTTGACTAAATCTTATCTCCTAATAAAATATTTACTTACTTTCAAACTAATTTTATCTTTTCATATTCACCCTTATTAAACACCCTACAATAAATATAAAATCATTATCAATAGAGTCACTTCCGAAAAAAATAATAATTATATTTTAAAAGATTAAAAATACCTTATATTTTTTAACATTAAACTTTTTAAAAAATATTTTATATTTTTTAATAAAAAGAGTATTAAATAAATCATAGAGATTTTATTTAAAATTGAATGAAATTATAAAGATTGAAAGAGTGGATGGACTGAAGAAGGCTAAGACAAACATAGCTGTATGTGATTGGATCGATGGACTGAAGAAGGCCAAGACAAACATAGCTATGTAAATTCTTGGGTTGATGCAGATTGCCAAGAATAGTTTTGGACATGGAAGTGTGTTAGATTGGAGGTGGGTCCTTTTGAACAAATGTGTCAGAAATTCTTGCATGCTTTTTTGGGATTGACTCAATCTACTTTGTCTCAATGTGGTAGGGTCCGTCTCTTTAATAACTGATAATTTTTTTAGGGACAGATTCTCCTTCCTGTGAAATTGACCGAAAGCTGCAACTGAGCACTATTCATTGTTATTTTATAAGAATTTAAAAAAAATGTCAGAAAAATCCCTAGAATATGTAAACAATAGTAAAGCCAAAAAAAATTATTCCCTTCATTTAAAAATATCAAACATTTCTTAAAAAATTAAATATTTAAAAATATAAATATTTTTAATTTTTTAAAATATAATTATTATTTTTTTAAGTGCTCCTATTAATAATAATTTTATATTTATTATAGGCTGTTTAATAAGAGTGAATGTGAAAAGATAGAGTTAGTTTGAAAATAGATAATTATTTTATTGAGGGTGAGATTCAGTTAAAAATGCCTTATATTTTTAACGGAGAGAATATAATTCTTCTCATCTTTTTAACATTAATAATTTTTGATAAAATGATTATAATAATTTAAGTTTAAAATAAAAAAATATGCTATTAGTAACTACTTTATTTTAAACAATAATTAATTTTTTTTTGACAATAACTAAAATAGAACAAATAATTATAATTTTTTATGCAATTTTTTATTACTAAAATTTAAGTATTGTAAATATTCATGATTACTTTAATTTAAATAATGACTATTTTTTTCACAATGATTAAAATAGAATAAATAGTTATAACTTCTTTGTGAGAAAAATAATAATTGGTTAAAGTAAAGTACTGTTATTAATATTTATTTTTTAAATGATAGAAATTTAGTCATTTTCTTAAAAATCATTTATGTTAAAAAAGTCTTTAAGAATTTAAAAAGAATTACTCCCTCCGTTAAAAAATGTAAAACATTTTTTGAAGAGTTTGATGTTAAAAAATGTAAGGCATTTTAATTTTTCAAGGTGTAATCATTGTTTTTTTAAAAGTGCCCTTATTAATAATAATTTTATATTTATTGTGAGGTATTTAATAGAAGTAAATATAAAAGGATAAAATTAATTTAAAAATAAGTAATTACTTTATTAAAAAATAAAATTTAATTAAAAATTTTTATACTCCCTCCAGTCCACAATATTAGACGTTTTCTAGAAGGAAATTCTGGTCCACAATATAAGTCACCAAGAGATGATGACTGTGCATTTTACATTAAAGTTCCCAAAATACCCTTAGTGGTATGACATTTCTAACGCCCTGCCTGTGTCTGTGGCTCAACTCTCTCTCTCTCTTCAAGTTGAGCTTCTTCTCTCACCGTGTTCAGTCTCTGCCGTCGATCGCTTCCCTCATTCTTCCCGTTAGCTCTCGCCTCATCGGTGATCGGCTTTCATTTCTAACTTTCCTCTTCCATCGTGGTCCACCTCAGACTCGCTGTGAAAGGAGTGGTTTGAAATGTCAATGGATCTTCGCCGTTCAAGCTCAACGAAAAAGGGCTTTGAAGATCTGTCATAGGATGAGATAATGGGCTGTATAGTCGACGATTCTCTTGATGGGGAAGAAGATATACCCCAAGTAAACTTCTCTAGAGAGGTGACGTCTCTGAATTGGAAGATTTCATGGGCACCTCGTCCGAAGGATTCTTTGCTTGGGTCTTTCGATTTTGTTGACGTTGAGGTGGTGCAGCAAAAGCAAGTCCAGTCCTTTGATTTGAATGAAGAGGCAATGAATGACAGTGAAGAAGTGAGCAGCGACAATAGCAACGGCACATCTGACCGGGGAAGAGAAAGAAAAAAGATAAAGATTGTCCACCCATTCAATCTGAACAAATTTCTATTTCCAGAGGAAGACTATGCGCATCTGACCGAGGAAGAGAAAGCCCGTAAGCGATTTGTATACGACACTTTGCATTCTATGCTCTGATTAGTGTTGAATTTCTGAGCCTTCTGTAGTTCTGTGTAATTTTAATTAGTCCAGACTTTAAGCTTATTCTGATGCATAATAGTTTAGTTTATTTTGGTTAGGCTAAAGTTGCATGTCGATGATCTTCTTTTTTGTTTAGTCTAATGGATGAATGTATTGACATTTTAGCCACTTTTTGCGTCTCTATTATATTAGAATGATAGATGATGATATTTAAACTAATGGCAGATGTTTTGAATTAGCAAGCTTTCTGTTTTGTTTTTTTTTTGAATTAGCAAGTTTTTTGTTTTAGCGAGCTTCTGCATCTCTGTTATGGTAGGGATTACATGTAGTTAGGAAATTATAAATGGATATGCAGTGTCAATATGCAGTGCTGAATATTTAGCCCTTTCATAATTATGGAGTTAATTTGAATCCTTAAAGATTTTTTTCTTCTTTAATTTGATATGTAGCATCAATAGGCATTGTCAATATAGAAATTGTTGGCAAATTATAAACTACCTACTTCATATACAAATTGCTTCATTTACTATAAAATATTGACTGTTAATATTATGTGTTGTAATTTATATGAAAAATTGTAACACAAAATATTAATGACCAAAACATTGAGGGTTCATAAAAATATTGTTAACCTTTAGAAGTTCATGTTATTTCATCATATTTTCCTTATATTCTAATCCATTTTAGTTCAATTGTATATGTTTTTATTGCCCAAATTATGAAAATGTGCATTTTGTTTTGGGCTTATGTTCTTAGCTTTCATTTGATATGTTTAGCCTAATTTCATGTTATTTTGATTTAAGTTTTGATTAGAAGCATTTCTGAAACTTGGTGGATGTTTTTGGAAGGCTTTTGGATGAAGAAATCAAGAGCAAAATGAATGATTTTGTTAGCTGTAAAAACAGTGCAAAACTGCTAAAGTCGTCCCAAAGTCGTGACTTTCCTTCGCGACTTTCGCCGCTATCAGAAAAACGCTGCGTTTCATTTATCAAAAATTAGTTGGCTAGGATACATATAAGCTGAGAGCTCGACCCAGAACGCATTCTTTAGACTTTTAAATACTTTTGGAGCTTGGTTGTGCTAGGGTTTGGGCATTGGAAGAGTTGGAATCAAGAGATTGAAGCTTTGAAGACATTTGGAGCTTATTTTCTTTGGTTTTTCTATTCCTCTTCCCTTTCCTCTCTTGTAATCTAAAATAGGTCTACTTATTTTGTATATTTATAGCTTGTGGATGATTATGAGTATCTAAACCCTTTGTTCTAAGATTATTTGGAACCCTTGTATGGATTAACACTATATTTCTCCTCTCTTTTGTGATTAATGATATATATATGTGTTTATTTTACTTTTTCCTTAATGCTTCTGCATGATTGGCCACCATTTAGATGTTGGGTTCACTTAATTGATGCTTGAAAGGGCTAGGTTGAGTGTAGAACTTGGGTAATATTGTGCAAGAACTTGATATTTGCATGTTGAATGGATGGTTTTGTTAGTAAGATAGAGATATACTTGCTAGCCTTACATAGCCACATTAGGGTTGATGTTTAAAATTGAGTTTTATTAATTGTAACAAGAGATTGGGAAATTAATTTAACTAAACACTTGTTCATGACTTGAGAGAGCTTGTCCAAGTATTTTTAAAACCTTAGGTTAGCACTTATTTTCATTAAAAGCATTTATGAGAGGAGATAATTTTGGTGTTATGAAATGCAAGGGGAATAAATAATCCTAGGTCCTAAATTGTGTTTAAAGTTTATGAATCACTCACTTTTCTTTATTTTCTAGTGTTAGTTTTATTTGTAAAACCATTTTATCTAACTATGTGTAGCTCAACTTGATCAAATTTGCTTAGTCTTTTGCTTAGTTATAGTTTTCTAAACAAATTCTCAAGGGAACGATACTCTACTCATTTTATATTACTTGCTACGACCTGTGCACTTACAGTGAGCAACAAATATTCACCCTTTAATCTAAGCTATCCATCCACTTCTTCTAAGTGCTTTAACACTTCTCGGACTAGGTAGGGATCACACTTGAGTTAATTAGGCAATTCACCCCTTCTTTTCATCACATCCTTCTTCAAATGGCTTGGCTTATACTTATTTGAACCTTTGTCCTTCATAATGTCAACCATAGTAGCTTGTAGTGTTAGGAATATCCTATTCAATTGCTTAAATGTGTAAACTTCAAAGGAATTCTCCACAGCTC